TTTTTTTTTTTTTTTTCCAACGCCTTCCCTTCATTTTGGCCCCTCGAAGTTGCTGATTTTTGCCACTCTGGAACTTTGGTCCCGGTCAGCACCAAAGAACTATCGAAGATACTTCGCAACGTGATTGTACAGGTTGTTCAAGTACCCAAAAATACAAAGAAAAAAAAACGAGGAAAAAAGCACTATTCATTGCCGCAAACGAGAGAAAAAATGGGACCCCTTTTTCCCTACTGAGCGCTATGGCAGGGAAATCAATGTTTCTCCGGGGAGGGGATGAAACCTTATCATCCCCTCTTATGTTGGTTTTTTCTTGGCCGCTTATCATATCCGAGCTTGACGCAAAAAAATAGGAAGGAAACGGTGTCCAAAACACCTTGAAACACCTTCATCGAGAAAGCTTGCTTATATTCCCGGATTTCCAAACCTTGCTTATATTCTCGGACAGAGGTAGTATATCTTTCTTACAAACCCGACTATGCTACCATCACTAACACGTTTGCACCCAGACAATCTATTGCATTTAGGTACCCTAACTTATGATACAGAGGAAGTATCAAGTAGTTGACGATAGCTTCGGAATACAGACCAGTGTTACTGCTTACGGAGAGTCCATTACCGCGTTCGTTCGATNCTTTCTTACAAACCCGACTATGCTACCATCACTAACACGTTTGCACCCAGACAATCTATTGCATTTAGGTACCCTAACTTATGATACAGAGGAAGTATAAAGTAGTTGACGATAGCTTCGGAATACAGACCAGTGTTACTGCTTACGGAGAGTCCATTACCGCGTTCGTTCGATTTGTGTCGTGCGGTTTCCCGCTGCCGATCAGGAAATCGTGGCCGAAATCGGTGCAACCGCCGTCCTGGTTGAGGGACGACAGTCATTTCGATTCCTCGAAGACCTGGCTGGACGACGAACCAACAATGATGGAAACGGAGACATATGCTGTCAGGTATCCACTGAGGTCTTCGACGGGACGAAATACCACAAAAAAACCTGTTTGGTATCACGTTTTTTGCAATCTTCTTATCGTCTGGCTGCCTCCGTCGAGAGAGATGCCGTGGTCAACGTACAGTGTACAAACGACGCAAGGTCGACCACCTCGTAGTCTTTGGCCTGGGCGAATTTCAGCTGTGAACGTGTTTGCAGGTCATTAGGTGGGTATGGCAGTGTACACAGATCCTCGTAGTGCTTGTTACGATTTGGGTCGCGCTTCCGAATTCAAGGGAACATCCATCTACCCACGGTGGATTCGAAACAGCGCAGAAACGTGGACTAGATGAAGTAGAGCTAGGTTCGTTTGATGGGGAAGGCAGTGAGTCGCATAGTGGGGGTGTTCACCGCTGACTGTCAGGGATGAGACGATTTCGGGGACCCGGTTGACAATGAATCCGAGCGTGACCTTGTGCTGATAAGCGGGGAGGATGTTTGCCAACCTGATGAAGCCCTGCTTAGGTGCGTGCGCATGTACACCGAAAACACGTCCAGGGACACTCGCCCACATGCGGCAAACATATTTTGTTGAATGAAAATGGAAGAGAAAGTTTTTGCTGACAGACGTAGCAGTGTTGATGTTGCCAAGGCTCGGCGGGACTTCAAGACTCGCCACTTCATCCTTGCAAAATTAAAAGGCAGAATACGCTGCGGGATTTTGACGAGCCGGGTAGGGGGGGCAAGAGGGTGAAGACAGAAAGTCCTAGGCAGATCAAAATAGGTCATGTGTCTATGTGATCTAGATCGCTTTAGTTGCAGGCAGCACGTTTGTGTTTGGAATCAGGGGTGTCGAGGGCATGGCGTCGCGTGTATACAGCTTGGTTGTACAGTAGTGGTGCAAGTATCATGTTCTCCGTTGTATCGCGTAGGTTTCTGTTGTGCAACCGACACCTTTTGTTTTTTGATAATACAAGCTCTTAGCTTTCTTGTGATGGCGAGTATTTGGTGTATTTGGCTTGGGGAGCAACATCATATAACCTGATTTCAAGTTGCTGGTTGTGTTTTCTCCTTGTGACTTTTCTTGTTCGTTGTTTCCTGTGTGCTCTAGCGTAGGTAAGGCACAATAGTTGGCAGGACAGAAGTCAGGCACCGGCAAGGCACAATCTAAATTCGGATACATCATAGTGCGTCCCATTGCGATGACAAACACAACTACGCGTGATATTTCTTTCAACGATGCGCGAGGGGGGCGAGGCAGCACCGTTCCTGTTTTTTTTTCGTTCATGTACATCATCAGCGATGTAAGGATACTTCACGCAGCGCTTCGCTGCTTGCTTGTTTCGAATGATCTTGTTGTTGCTTCGAGTGTTCTTGATTCGAGGTTCTCTCCTTCGCACTCTGTCTGAGTGGAGACTACGAAGACGGGATTTATGACGAGTAGACTACACACCGGAAAATTGGTAGAGAGAAACGCATTACATTTCTAGTGTAGGTGAAACCGCGCGGAAAGATACTACAGCATTTGTCCTTCTTTTTGACATCTGTGATGGCGCTCCCTCTCAGGCATTACTCCCAGCAGATCCACGTCATCATGCCCTTGTCCACCATACTCCACCACCACGACAACAAGCCTGCTGGTCTTTGGAGATGAAGGCAAAGCTGTGCTGTGCCGGGCTGGGCTGTGCTGCAAGGCAGGACATGTGTGGGTGGAGACCAACAAGGGACCAAATATACAGGAGATACAGCATGATTTTCTTGTTCTCAGACGGCCGATTGGCGCTTTCTCTACCGTTTTGGTAGTAGAGATAGTCTTCCCTTCAGAGCTGGCCCTCCCTTTCCGCGTCTGTCGGCCTCAGAACGTGCTCGTGGCTGTTGCTGTGGTGCTGCCAAAACCGGCCGATTTTGGTGGTTTTATGGCACAAAATTGGGCGTTTTGGTACAGGGGATGGGATAGTTTTGTCCCCTCCATATAAAAAAATTGGCATGGCTCTTCATGCCACTATCATCTCCCACTGTTTGGGCTGCTTCTGCGCAACATTGCTGTGCCTATCACGTGTGGTGTTTCATGAAACCGAAGCGGTCTACAAGAGAAGGTTCACAAAGGAGTGCTGCCAGCAATACACGGCACCTGGTTTCTGCCTCTTCCCTTGGTCAGCAAGTCGAAGTCCTGAGGACTCGGGCTGATAACCTCAGCGGTAAGCGTGACCAGAGTGTAGTCAGTGTCCACCGAGCGAGTCTGCTTTTCCCCCGCATTTTGTTTGTCTGCTCTCTCTCTATCCGTTGCGTTGCTTTGACATTAAGGAGATGGCTGTGCTCCGTATCTTATGCAGATCGTCGAGCACGAAGCCTTTCGTCAATCTTGTGCGCCTTCGATGTAGACCACGTATGCATGTGCATGCGTAGATGTGTACTTGGAAAAAGAGTCACTCCTGTCCTTGATTCAAATTATAAAAATATCGGTTTGTTTTGTTTGCTTGCGCGAGCCGACCCGTGCAACCAGGTGTGCACTTGTTCACTCCATCTGCTGCTTCGCTGTGTCGCCTCGTGGTGTGCTTCGTGCTTGTTCAGTCGACGATCTTCGGAAAATCGGGCGCCAAATCGAGCTTGCCCTCCCTGGCGAGGCGGACCTGCGTGAAGTAGGTGAATACTGATGGAGACAACAGCTCAATCCTCAATCTCACTATGTAGACTACATTGTCTATGGCAGCTGCAGTAATACATACAGAGCGGCCTATGCGGGGAGGAGCGGGTTGTGCTTCTATGATACCACATTTATCCTAGGTTTGTAGAAGTCCTCCAAGCTGTGCAGCACTCCTATCCACCTTTATCCATGAAATAGCGAGACACGGGTCACGTAGAAGACCTTGCGGAGGCTACTGAATTTTCATCGTACTGTCTGTATGTAGACCTTCTCTTGAGAAACTGAAACGTACAGTATGCGAAACGTCTGGTGCAAACGCTCGTCCTGTGGGAAATGAACCAATCCTAACGTCCAATTAACGTAAATGATTCATTCTCATTGGCTGCGTGATTCTTCCACACCGACGCGTGTTGTATTCATACCTGCGTCTATTCGTTCGTGTTGTCGGACAAAGACTACAGTAAACTTCGATTAGGAATGATGGTGGCACCGGAGAGACAACGACTACTACTGCACCTATAGTTGAAAGCTCGGAAGTCTGTAGATAGGGAGATGCGTTTTCTGAATATGCCGTTGCGCGAAATGAAATTTCTTCAACAGTGTATAGGCATCATTGAGAAATGCGCGAGCGGAGTGAATCCGACGAGTGAATCCATTGTGGGGCCCCTCTTTTGCCCAACCATCCTATCTTTTCCGTCTACCGCTTTCCTCCGTGGAAACTTTCTCCGCCGGCTTCGTTCACTAACACCCTCTGAAGGGCTAGATGCAGCCGCCCTCTTCACCAGGGCATGCAGCACAAGGCGAGTAATGGCAATGACACATCATAGAATACTGTTTGACGGTATGATGTGAACTGTTTGACAGTATGATATGAACTGTTTCGCTTTCGACAAGAAACCGAAGCTTCTGCTTGTTGTGTGCTTGGCCCTGGGAATAAGTACCGAGTCATTAAGATGTATGGATACGTACGAGTCGCGTGCCATTTTCATGTTTGTCCTCGTCGCCTGTGAGCAACAAAGTGGCGCTGTGTCTACGGTCCAGTCCATGGTGCTCTGATACTCTTCATTTGTGATATCATTGTGTCTTTAGTTGTACCCTATTCTTCAAACATGACCCCGCCAAGTTTGAGGCTGGTCGGAGACGTTGTTTCTTCAAACAGGTAAAACCTGTCCTTTTGAAATCTATCGACGCTAGCCACCGTCGTTGTAGCGTGTTTAGGTAACCCACCCGATTTTCGCTCAACAGCCCACAGCAGTGCGTGCAAAGGCCAACAATAGAAGGCGCAACCTTGAAAGAGTATTGGCGTTCTCTCCTCCTCTCCTAGTATTCTGTCAACTACGAATCGCATTGCCCGTATCGCAGACCCGAAAAAGAGCAAGAGGCTCTCCTCGGCTCTCAGGACAAGGTGCTGGGGGGTGTGCGGGGCATCTTATCGTCGCTGGTTCCACGTCTGCACCGCACAGTCCGGGCAGTTCTGCTGCCGCTCGTGGCTCAGCGCGGTTTCGCCAAGAAGGTGTGGCAAAGAATCGCAAATTCCCAGTACATGCCACCCTGCGGGTTCATTTTCCCAATTTTTTCACACCCCCACACAGTCCATGCCCCCCCCCCTCCGTGTTGCCATCGGGATTGGGTGTTCGTCGCTTGGCAACGACGTTGAAAAACAAGCCAGTTCACTCGTGAACTCGGCAACCAGGTTGTTACCGTTACTTTTTTTTTCCTCTGTTTCTTGTTTGGCGGTAATGATAATGGTGGTCGAGTAGATCGTGTTGTGCGGGGTCGAGGACTCTCACTCCGCACAAGGGGGATGATCGCACCGCGTTGTGTTAAAATGGTCAAGCACCCTCGAGGCAGTTGCACAGTGCTTACAACTGTCTCAGGAAGTGAAAGCACCAGAAAATAACTTAAGTCATACGCAGCTGTCATCCGTGCGCAAGGAAGTAAGCACAAGGTGCCGAACACCCTTAGCAGGATGCAGCGCACCCTTCATGCGACTCGCCGAATATCTCACGGCGCTTCGCGCTTGGTGATGTGAGAGCCTGGTCCGGTGAGAACCCGGCGTACTCCGTCCCGGCTTTGTAGGGATGCGAGGTCAATGGTCTAACGACTACGGCATGCACGACTACAAGTAGTACACACCCACACAGTCCATGTGCGAACACCCACAGGAATGGGATGCTGAGGGACGGAAAACACCGCCGGCAAAAAATTTACTCCGAAAACCATCCGCCTTTGTATCCCTCGTGGAGATGTTGTCGTTGCCGTTTTTGTCGTTATCGTTGTCAGCGTAGAGGCTGATGTTTCCATTCTAGTTTTACCGTCATAATCGATCTCATTGATGGTCTGTGCTTGTTATTTAAATTCGCTCTAGGTCAAGGCTACCCCACCTTCTGCTTTTTCAAACCCGGGAGGAATATCACAATTTCATTTCTACTCACCCCGCGATATCTAGCTTCGTCCGGCGATTAGCCATCATGCATCACCCCTCTCCCTCCCATGCTCGACACACTTATGTACTCGATGTATTAGAGGAGAGGCTATAGGCAGCACCTTGTGCACGCCCTTGCCGAGGCCGCCTCCGGCCCCGTGCCTCCCTCTGCGCTGCTGCCTATCCTTCGGGCCAAAGAAACCGGCCCCGCGGCGACCGATCTTACACTGGAAGTTCTTCAGCGAATCATCGGGGAGGCAGACGAAGGCGGCGGTGGTGGAAGCATTCTCAACAATGACACATCGAAGAATGCAGTGATCGGTGAGAACTTTCTATCTTGTCGCCGCCCCCCACCGGGGGTAGTGAGTGAGTTTCGCTGCTGGTATGGTTTGAAAGTGGGCTTCGGGTCGTTGTTAATGCATGATATCTCGGAGAGGCTTGCGCGTGAAGGATCAGCTGCTACTGTTGGACTCGGACATAATCGCCTTTCGCGAGGGGTCTCGGGTAATAGAAGATGCCCTTGGGCATTTGTAGATCCGTGAATCATCGTAGTGACTTCGGTGTAGAAAATACCGTGATTTGCTGATAGTCTTTCACTCACTCTGCTAACCACGCATTCGTGTCAGTCAGCCTAGCTTTTCAACTCTTCGTTAATCCGGCAACTTTTTTTTTCCATCTAAAAGCGCTAAAACACATCGGAATGCCAGGCAGGTCGGATTGATCTGGTTGCTTGTTTGATGCCGAACGCCTTCGTCCGCCTCTCCTCAGGATAACCCCTCCATCCTCTCCGTTGAACACTTACAGTAGTACCTTGATATTTGGATGGCCTCGATAGGGTGGAGTTCGAGCAGAGAGGCCCGTTGATATCGATTCCACCACGATCTTACGTTGGCGGGAATTTTTGTGGCGTTGTCCCGTGGGCCGTGGCTTTTCAACACCCTGCTTACCTGATCGAACTGCGTGTGTGTGGCCAAGACTTGCTGCACCACGTGGTGGCTGAGGTGGTCACGTCTGGGGTGACCATGGGCAGGAGGCGCGGGGCCAGGGGGCCGCCGGTGCATTTGATGTCCTTCCTGGTGAACGCATTCTCAACCCTACCTGAGTTCGCTCTGGTATTCGCCAAGGTTTGTGAGCAAAATTTGCTGTGTCCTCTGCCAGCTAACGTATGGCCCGTTCGGGCAAATATTCACAATCTTGTTTTTCGCGATATCTTTCGAAAAAATACGATTTGGAAAGTGAAACAACTTTGGGCGTGACCGCGGCGTCGAGCTTCGTCGATATCCGGTGAGTTTTTGGTGATTGGGTGAAATGCGACATTTTTGACCAAAATGACCCACGGAGCCCCCACCCCCCCACCCCAAAATGACCCCACGGAGCCCCCAAAGTACACCACGACCCCCCCTCAACCCCTCCCTTCTACACGTATATGCCTTCAGAACATCAGTTAAACCGTTGTCAATCCATATTTACATTATTTACACGTTACATATGTACATACATACATACAATACCGCCGTTTACTTTCTACTCAACCCCTGGCTGGTGAAGGTGCTGCAAACAAAGCATGCAGCAATCACATCCGTTCTCTCTAAGCAAGTCCGATACCAAGAGAGACAGCTATGGCGTTGAGTTGGTGACCATGACGAACGCCTCTACCGCGCCTAAACGCGAGAAACCAACACTACAACACACCGCCACATATAGATACGTACCCTCCCCACTCACGCCTGAGCGTGCCCGCCCAACCATTTCCTCAAAAAATTCATCGTGTTGCGCAAAATCCACAGCCGTAGCTGCTCCTTCCGGGAGGCCCTCTTGCTCGTCCACGTGTTGAAGGCTTCCCTGGTCGCTGCCATCGACTTCTTGCGCACTTCCTGCGCAGCCGCAAGCGCCTTCGCCTCGGCTGCCTTCTTCTGCTCCGGCGTCTTCCCCGCCCCCCTCGCCTGAATCACGGCATCTCCCCTGGCGGTGGCTTCTCGGTGCTTCCCCCACTCCTTGAGATCGCGGTACTCGAGGTAGTCCTCCAGGCCCTCGTCGTAGGCTTCGATGTACAGCCACGTCACCCTGCTCCATGCGCGGATAAACCGTGCGGGTACGCCGCTCAACGCGCCGGGCAAGACCTGGAGCATGTGGCGAAGGGAATACTCGCAGTGGAGGCGGAGGAGGTGCTTGATGTACCCCCAGTATCGCTCGATTGCGTTGAGCTCTGGGTGGTACTTCGGCAAGAAGATGCACAGGTGCCCGTGTGCCTTGAAGAGCTTCTCAACCATGTTGAGCTCCTCCCTGAACGCCTTGAGCTCAGACAGAACGCGCACGACGCAGCAGCGACGCCTCTTGCCTGCTTCACCAGCTGCCCCGCTCCCACCCGAGTCCCCGTCCTCTCCGCCGTCCTCCTCTCCCTGCCCCGTGTTGTCCACCACCTGCTGCCGCCCCTCTCCACCGCGGTTGAAGGCGGTAATGGCTTGCCTTGTTGCCGCCTTTTCCGCCCTGCACGCGCTGCACTCGTGAACGCGTAGGGTTGGCTCGCCTTCCCACAGCCCCATCTCCATGAGCAGCTGCTTTCCTCCTTTCGGCAGGCCGATGAGAACGGCGGTGGGGCCAGTCGTCGTCGTGGTCGTTGGTGTGCATGGGAGAAATATTGGCGCCTTCATGGTCGGAAGAGGGAGGAGAGTCGTTGCCTACAGCAGGGTCCGCAGGGGGCGAAGGGGCCTTCCGAATCGTGCCGTCGGCGTTCCTTGGCAGCTTGCGCTTACCCTTTGGGCGACCCATGTGCCCGGAGCGCGTGTGCGTCTTTCGTTGCGTGCGTAAAGGGTGTGTGTGTGTGTGTCCTCTGGTGTGTGTGTGGAGGGAAAAAATTCCCCGAGGGCGTGTGAAACCACCCAAAATATCTCCGAAACCCGAGTTTTTTTTTGAAATCGGAAAAAAATCATCGGTGGGAAATCACGAGAGGAATCGATTGCAGCACTTTATTTTTGAATCGTACGGTTGGATTGTCCCCAAAAAACTAAGCAAGATACCCTCCAATATCCGTTTTTTTGCCCATAACTCCGTTATTTTTTGTCAAATTGGAAATCGGAAAAAAATCATCGGTAGCAAATCAGGAAAGCTGTCCAAATCCGGTCTCAGATTTTGTGTCTGCAAAAAACACCGCCCTCCAGAAAGTAAGCAAGATTTCTTGAATATCTGAACATATCGAGCGAAGGACGAAAAAAAAAAATCTCCGTACGAAGATGCGCCTTGAAACGTCGATTTACGCGGTATTTTCAGATTTCGGAATAAGTACCCCCACCCCGAGAAAAGTGCACCTTTGTGCAGGGGAAAATATTGTGAATATTTGCCCGAACGGACCACAGGTTCCCTTGCTGCGTGCGCCGGTGAAAGAAGAAGCACTATATATATTATTTTGTTGATGGAAATGATCTGAGTGAGGATGGTTCCTTTTTCACTTTTGGCCTGTGTGGCTCGACGCCGCAATTGAATGTGGTTGCATTTCAACCCTTGACTGGAATGCGTGGTATACGGTTACGTACGAGAGGGATAGAACAAGAAGCAACCTTGATGTTTTTTTCACCTACATGTAGGCCTCCACCTTGCTCTCCACCTTACGTTTATTTTCTTCCGGGGGTACAAACTGGCGTTTGTCTCTCGCACTGTCCGCGACTCCTCCCTCTACAGAGAGAGAACCTCAGAAGCCGTTTCCGTTGTCTCGTACTTGTACGTATCTTGTCCACGATTCATCCTATTGATCATTTGTTGGAAGCGTGGGACGAAGCACGCGTGGCTTTAAACTGCTCACCCGCTTACCCTCCCCTATGCGTCTAACGAATTCGGACTTGGCGTGTGATTTTCGTGCAGGATACTTTATATTTGTACGACTGGAGGAGCCTGCTGCCTGGGGTGAAGCGCGTAGGTTTAGTTTGTTCAGACGATCGATACAGGCAGGAAAAATTGCGATTCTATTACAAAGGCACCGCCGCACACGCCCCCCGTCACTAAATGGCCCGCGCCCGGGGCGCTGACTTGAATAAGTTTGTGATGTTGTGAACGTTCGACGCGTGGCCAGGTACACGTGAAGAGCTACCAGCCTCAATCTGCTGCATTATGACAACAACCCAACTGTAACCCCAACCGTAATCCTAACACTAACGCGCACGATACAAACACGCGAACGTTATGACCGTGCTTTCGGTGCTGCCGCGGCCGGTCCTTCCACCCTTGATGCTTTGCCCAAACATTTCGACAACAAAAACACAGGACCTGCTCGCCCTCACGGAATCCAGCTCGAGCCCTGCCAGGAAAATGTCTCTTGCCGTTCTAGCGGCAATCCTCGAGCATGGGCGGGAGTTGGGGGCACAGTGCGGGGGAACGATCCTGGACCCAGCTCTGGCGGCGTTGCTGCGTTTGGCCCGATCTGATGGTGACGCGACCGTGCGGAGCTCGGCGTTCGACAGCATTGCAAAATTTATCGGTGAAAACAAAACTGGATAGCCAACAGGATAGCTTGAGGTTGTACCTTTCTTTTCACCGTTTCCCACAGGTAGAACGGGCGTGACGACGCCCATTGCGGCACAAGCTGCTTCATTCATTGGTGAGAGGTGGGAATGGCTCTAGGTCACACGCATGCGTATTTTTCACGGCCTTTTGCAGCCTCAGGGGGCGATGGAACGTTCTGTGGCCATCTGGTGCTGGCAAACAACCCCAAGCAACTTAACGTATCCCCCTTCCCCTGCTGGGCCGAACACATCTGCAACAACAGGCCAGATGGGAACGACGTTATATCGCCAACGCCTACATGACAACGACGACACATCCAGTGACCTCGACGACGGTACACCGAGCGGCGATGTGCTTGCCCACCAGCAGTCTCGAAGTACAGCAGAAGCGTTGACCGACGACGATAGCACTGGTGGTGGGGGTGGCGGTGGCCGCGGCGTGACACACGGCGCACGAGCGACGGAAACGATGGACATGGAGATTGCACCATCGGAACGCGGCGCGGCCGATCATGCCGGGGACGCAGACGCTTGTCCTCTGTCAGAGAAAATTCCGTCGGCTACGGCAAGAACGCCGATGGCGCGAACGCAAATGGGCGCGATGCATGGTGCGACCAGCGGAAGGCAGAGTCGGCAAGGGCGCACGCCGGTGATCTCCCCACAGCACACGAGCGACCGTGCACATCGTGCGACGAGAGGAGCCGGTGCCCCCAGCGAGGGAAATCGTGGGCAAAGAAGGGAGGCGAAGGTTTCAGCGGGTCCGTGGACGATGGGGGGGGCACTCCAGTCGTCACTGTCGGCTGCAGCTGAGGCCCTGCTGACTGATGGGTCCAAAGCTGTTCGGGCGAAAGCCTTGGCCTGTTCGCTTCTTATCCTAGAGGTTCACGGGGACACAATCCAGCCACGCGGGGCTTGTTGCGAAAACACCGCAGGGGATGAGGCGGGCTCGGCAGCAGGGCCGGGTGTGTCGAGCAGGGTGGAAAGGACGCTCTCGACGGCAAGTAGTCGCTGTGGTGGAATTTTGATATTAATGGCGTTTCTTCGCAGCCAAAGACGTTTACCCCGCAGCTCCGTTGACTTCGCTTCGCGCCCCTGCATGTCCGGGATCGCGATCTTGTGCCCATCTCTACGCAAGCGTGATCTTCGCCAACGATGTTTCCCCTACACCCGTGGCAGCTTCACGTGGGTTCACCTCTCGAAGAGTCTCGTTGTGCAGGAGCCCTTCCTACCTCTATCCACACTATGTCGTGTGCAGGTGGCCAAAGGCGCATTGCTGGCTCTCGAAGCCCTGGCAGGCGATAACCACGGCGGATCTACTACACAAGCGTCGCTCAACTCCACTGGGGGAGGCGGGAGGCACCGCAAAGCCGCCGATACCGCCCGAGCCCTCTTGATCCTGCCCTGCGTAGAGCCCAGCCCGGTGGAACTTGTCATGTGCTACGCTCGTTGCAGGGTCGCTTCTGGAGTGGGAGAGGGGGAAGCAGTGGGGGCAACCGAGGTAGGCGGGGTCCATGGTGTTGAATCTCGTGTGTTGTTCCGCTACTCCCGCCGACCGACAATATCGTTACGCATAACAGGATGGCGCTTGGCGGTGTGGAATAGTGATCTGTTCTGGATTTCATGTTTCATAGAATGTTTCAATGCAGGCGACACCACAATTCCCGCCGGGTGATGTGTTCGTGGGGAGGTTTCATGCTTGGCGCAGGCGATTCTCGACTACCGGCACACTTGTTTCGTGCATGGGACGCCACCGTTGCTTTGCATCCGACATGACACCTCAAACGTTCTGCATAGTTAAAACTTGTATTTGTACTCCACCACCGATACTCACGTTCAAGTCAGGGTTCGATTGTTTGCTGAAAGACGTATTTCGCCCCGTGTGTGTTCGCGGCTTCTGGTGGAACACGTTCAGCTCGTGGCCGATGAATAGACCGCAACGCCATTGCGAACACGAACGCTGGAAGCGGTCTGTTATTTCGTGCGGGATGGTTCATGGATCATTTGTCTCCGCTGGAAAAAATAATCGTCCAGGGAAACTGTGACCACCTAATCGTCCAAGGAAACTATGACCATCCCTGTTAACCATCGCAGGCGAAGAGAGCCCTCAGAGAAATAGCTCAAGCGACCTTCTCCGCCGATATCCGGAAGCTTTTGAAAGCCGTGTCAGTCATCATGGCGGCGGACGAGCGACGACAAGGCTTAGAGGATGGCAGCGCGAACATAAACTTCGCAGATACAACAGAGGGCGCAAGTTTCTCTCTCTCCGAGGTGAGCAGTGAACGTGCGTCTTACCCGCTCAGAATTTTCCTAGAAAAACGAGCTCGCATCTGCTTTGCACGAATTTAACGAACTGGGAACTGAATTGTTAACCACGTAGCAGCGCTCACGCTGTCGAGGTTCTGGACACGCAAGCCCGAACTGACCGGCAACCTTGGTCACGTCTTCAACGTTGCAGAGAGGGAACTAGCCTTTTGGTAAACTAACATTCTTGGTATCAGGGACGGGTTGGACCTTCACTCGGAGTTCGCGTGAGGGAGCACTTGAGATCTGGAAGGTCGATGAAGTTGCTGACTCGAGCGTGTCCGGATGGGAGCCATCAACGATGAACATCGGGCGCGATGATTCGAACGTTGAGGTTGACGGAAGCAGGACAAGGGGATGTATGGGGTTTAATTATCTGCGGAAGAGTTGCGTTGCATGTGGCGACCTAAGACTTGCGCGTTTTCTTTCTGCTGTGTCAACTTTTGCTCCCTTCCCTGTTCTGGTTTCATCTCCCATCGCCTATCCTGGCGGCAGGTTCTTGGCGAGGTGCTCGCCGGAGTAGACAGCGGAGCCATCGCGTCATTGCTATGCGACGCGCTGGAAGCGTATGCCGCCGAGGACGAGATTGCACCACGGGATCGCGATGGCGAGACACGCAAGTATTCTAATTACAACAGTCCGTTGATTTATTGTGATCTTTGGATTTGCTGCATTTCGTGGGGCCAGGCGGGGACTACCGACCAACTGATGATTTAATTGGGCACCACCTCTTGATGGTGAACCAGGTGCAATGTATTTCTCACAAAAGTAGGAAAAGGCTCTGGGATTTACAGACCCGCCCTTACCGATTCGCGGAATGCCTGTGCCACCCTGTTGTCGAATTGTTGCGGCACATCGGTTGAACGCGCTTCAGGTAGGCACTCACTCTGGTGGACTGCTTCGTATGAGGCAAACCCATTTAGTTTACAAGCTCGGAAACTTCAATATGATGCAGCCTAACAAATATATCGTGACGACTTAAAAATTGAAACTACGCTCTACCAACAGTTACGCACACGACCATGGCCTAGACATGCGTCAAAATGTGAGATGTTTCGGTCTCGTCCAACGTACGTTGTCACATTGGGTGCAGCAGCCAGTGCCCCGGTTCTGTTGCGGACGCTCGCCCTACTCGCGGAGGCGAGTGGCCATGCCAAGAATGGGGTCGATGAGCGAAACGGTGCCAGTCAGCCCGGCGGAAGCAGCAACCGTGAGAGGCTTGCCGGAAGGGGCGGCCAGCACGGGGCAGGTGACGAGGAGGAGCAGCTTCGAACTCTGGCGGGAAGCCAGGGGCTGTTCTGGCGCAGGCTTGAGCAGCGGATGGAGGACATTGAGCGCGATGAACGACGAGAAGAAAGTGGATGGCAGGGAGCACAAGGGGACCGCGGGCAACTTCGCCGTCGGGGTTTGGGGTTGTCGATCGAACAATACCACGGTGGCGGCGGTGACGGTGGGAGGAACGGCGGAGGTGGTCATGGCCATCGATCGGCGGCACCAGATGCTGTTTCCGAGCTGTCCGAGCTGTTGCGCATCTTCCAGCTTTTGGCCACCTATTCCTTGCTCTCGGCCAAAAATAGCGCCGCTCTTGAGGCCCTTGTTTTCCCCGCTGCTCTTTCTAGACGAAGGTGAGGAATCGCTGTTCCCGTTCGACCTCCACAGGGGTACCACATGTCATTCCAGGCGTTAGGTGTGGGTTTTTTGTTTCGGTAGCTGGCCAAGAAGGGGGCAGATATGGGCACGTCCGCGATCGGCACTAGGATTCCACTTGTTTTCGACGACTCGTTCATTACGACGGAAGAACGTTTGCCTTTCGTGCCAGATCACATTGGATTCTTCTCGTTGCCGGTCCTCACGACCGTCGACGAATTCGTTCGAATGCACTACACAGTAGAAAGAAATGTAGACGTCACATTCCGTATGAGACAGAGGAAAGCCTGAGATGTGAATGCATGCGCAAGGCTCGCTTGTTGGTGCACCATACCAATGCTAGATGGATCCACATGATACTACCTAGACCTCAACTGTTTGTTTGGGTCAATGGCCATGGGTTTCAATGAAGCGGTATTGTACAATTCACTCCGTTTTTAAGACCGAGTCATCTCCATTCCTCAGGGCGAAAATCATGCGGACATCGGATCAGACGAGAGCTTCAATTATGGAGACGAGTGAACATTGTGCTCCTTTCACTCGGGAGGTTTGTGATGCACCAAATATTTCACCCAATGGCGCGCCTGTGAAACGTTGGTCGCGCTGAGTGTCGTTTTCCGACCTATTCCCGTTCGGTGCTTGGAAAGACTCATCCGCCAGGCAGTAGGTCTGGCTTTGGCGCTGGAGGAACCTCACCGTGTACTACTGTCCTCTCTGGCAATGTTGCAAGATGCCGCGTTCGCAAGAACGTCTACTGATGTGTGCAGGTATGAGATGGACGGTGGGACTGTTTCGCGCAATCCCACCTTTTTTTTCTTTGTTTGGAGTTGATGCTTGTGTTCTGGCGCCCATGCTACGCCGGGGGGTGATCATGATTGGGTTTTCCGGCCGACCGAACAGCGTTGAACGCTTGCAGGACAGTTTGAGCCTAGTAAGAAGACGGGATACAAAAATGACATAGACGTGAGAACATTGCAAAAACCAAGCCAAATCAACAACAAGACCACATTTCCTCGCCCTTCTCGAAAAACACGACCAGTTGAAGAGGTTGGTTAATGGGGTGATAAAATGTTTGATGATATGACCTTGTCGTCTTTGGTCACGCTTTCTCAAGTGTTGGTTTCGCAACACGTCACTTGCGTGTTGGAAAAATATGAAGAGCATTTTCGTCCGTACTATTTTCATATTCCACCGACGCTAGCTCATCGTAGAACTGCAAGAGCCCCATATGTTCCTCGCGTTTCTCGAGCGACACGTTTTGCGTCAGTTGGAGCCTCGCAAACCTTAAATTACAACCGGCTGTTCGCTTCGGGCAAGGTCAGTATGTAGGCTAATTGTGTCGAGGTCGATCGATATTCACAACTCATTTGCGTTCTTGGTGCTGGTCTGGGGGAGCAGGGCCTGCGACTACGTGAGGCTTATCGGCGTTCTGGCCAGAGAAAATGCGTCCTTCATTGCGGCCCACGTTCGAGAGCAGTACAGGTGCGAAAAGGAAAGACGTGAGGGTAACCTACATCTGCCCGTATGACCCCGAAACCTACTGGTGCGGAAAGACGACAAGGACCTCGTGTTGAGGCTTTGGGACGCGTGTGTCATCGTCGCGTTCCATCTTTTCGTTGTTTTGTTGCCGGTATATGTGTATTTGATATTAATTTGACTTGTGCACCTACGCTCACGCAGCACTATGGTAGCCACGGTGAACGCGTCAAGCTGTAGAGCGTGACAACTACTGTGGTTCCCATTGATGCTCATTTTCTTGTCCCAAAGACGTTTCAGTAGCTGGAAGCATGCGCATTGAAAGTTGGTGGCTGGTTGTTTTGTGCCCAATGACGCATCGATTTCCCGGTACTCCCATAGCAACGGTGAGCGGAAATGACGTCATTGCTGTTAGGATGATCCGAACTGGGGGTAGCTTGTCGCAAGACGTGTGTTGAATAGGGTGTCGGCAACTCGGCGAGCTCGCGCCAAGGAGGAAAGACGTGTAGGGTTTGTTGCATAAACTTCTTCTTCACATGAACTCACATGAACTTACATAAAACACTGAACGCACGCGTGCACGCACCACCATGAGGGGGCGACGCAGTATACAACAGGAGTACCTTGCACATCCTGGAAATACATTCCACGTACCACACAATCCTACAACCACTTGGCATTGCTACAAGTATATCTATCAGCCCCCCTGCTTGTGACCATGCCATGTCTTTTTCGATCCTCAATAACTCCAAAACACAAGAAAATAAATCAGAAACTCCACATAACTCTAGAACAATAGCCTCATTGGCTAGACATCAATAACCATCCCCGATCATACCAGTTATACTTCTTCGAACTTCAGTGAACTTGTTGCCCCCCAGCCTAGAACATCATCCATTGAGAAAAACCATAGGCAAAAATGTAAAATGTTGCCACCCCAGTTGTTTGATCACACACAAAATAAACCCGAACACCAAGATATTAATCCATACTCATCACGTAGTTACGATGAAACTCAAAATCTCCCGCGTGAAGTGCTTTCGTGAGAAAGTCAGCATGTTGATACGCCGATTCCACGTGAAAAATCGAAATCTCCTTCCTGCCTACCAGTTCCCTGATAAAGTGGTGCCTTACGTCGATGTGCTTCGAGTTACTGTTGCTTATCGGGTTTTGCGCCAACTGAATAGCCCCTTGGTTATCCTCGAACACCGGAATACATGGCATGCCTGCTTCTGGTAACATGAAACGCCACACCTGCCTCAGAAACAACACTTCCTTCATCACATCCGCAAGAGAGACATACTCCGCCTCTGTCGTGCTCAACGTAACGCACTTCTGGGTCCTTGAAAACCAAGAAATACATCCCCCCCCACACATCACCAATCCCCCTGACACAGACCTCCTATCGGCAGCCTTACTTGCATAGTCTGCGTCTACGAACACCTCCATGCTTAATCCTGCTACACTACCCCTCCTGAATGTAATACCCAAGTCACTAGTCCTTACCACATACCCCAAAATACCAAGCCCTGCTCTCCAATGAATCTCTTTTGGAGAGGCACAGTACCGTGCCACCGCTCTTACTGCATTCGCGATATCTGGCCTCGTTTGCGTTGCCAGCCACATCAATGATCCTATCAGCTCACGAAAAGGCCATGATACCACTTCCTCATCCTGGTCAAACTCTGAAAGCTTCAACCCTACAGGAAGAGGAATTTCCTTCCCGTACTCTACCCCAAACTCCATCCCCAACTCTTCAGCGTACGTCTGCTGCGAGATCTTCAAAGTTCCTGCATCCCAATCTCTCTCATAAAAACATCCAGAGTACCATCTCAAATCCCCAAGATTCTTCACAGGTACCATGGTGTTGAGGTCCCTGCCAAACTGGTCACACCTCTCCTCTTCTCCTATCGAAAATATATCATCTACATGTACCACCAGAGTCACTACCACTCTTCCCTCCTCAATCAACCGAAACACACACGTATCCGCCATACACTGAATAAAACCCAAACAAATCAAACACCTCGCCAAGTGTGAGTGCCACTGCCTTGATGCCTGCTTAAGGCCATATAGACTCTTGTTCAACTTCACGATCATACCTGATAATCTACCACACCCCTCTGGCAGACGCATAAAAACATCCTCATCCAAATCCGACTGGACAAATGCCTGCTTGATGTCAAAATGACGGAGAGAAAGATTTTGCTCACACGCCATCGCTGCCAACAAGCGAACGCTAGAAACCGCTACAGTCGGTGCATACGTTTCTCCACAATCTACATGTACTCGCTGCATATCTCCTCTCGCTACTAGCCGTGATTTCACATTGGTTGGCCATCCATACTCATCAGATTTCCAATCAAACACCCACTTCGCCTTGATAACACTTTCTGGTTGCTACATTACTTCCTCAAAGGTACCAGCCTCCATCAGGCCTCTGAACTCCTTCTCTACAGAGTGTATCCACAAGTCAGCATGTTGAGAGGACACAGCCTCCCTATACGTTTTGGGTACGCGCAAGTCGCTCGCATAGCACTGTGGCAAGTCCGGTGCCACTTCCGGGGGATCTAAATCCCTCATCGCGCGATCAATGTCCTCGCGGGAGGCAAGCAAGGTGGCGCACGCAAATGGGACTTCTTCACGCAGTCCTTCTGTTTTCGTGCCCTCCCGCTCTCGCCCCCCCGGCTCCGCTCCATCACGTCCTCCGGCTGAACTCGGGATCTCCTTCCTCCCCCCATCGACGATGCTGCGAGTGGTTAGAGTCGACAGGAGCGTTGCCTTGTCCTGCAGGGAAACAAGACCGAAGCGGTGGGCGAGAGCGTCGCCGCTCCCGCCAGGTGACGTCGACCGCTCGGCCCCCCCATCCTGGAAACGCACCCGCCGACCCCTCAACCTCCCTGGCACCCGCGTCTCTCGTCCCAAGTCCAGCTCTCGATTGGCCCTGGCAGAGAGGGGCGGCATTGACGACGCACGCCCCCCCCCCTGGTCCTTAGCGGCTGCCCTCGTGCGCCCAGAAACCCTCATGTCGCCGCGCCCCACGTCCAGTTCACGGATGGTCCTCGTAGTGAGCGGCGGCATGTTGGTGGAAGGCGCGGCACCGGGCGGCACGGCGGCGGGAGACGGTATTACTGACGGTGCAGCGGCGGTGGTGAACGGTGAGGCCGGAGGCGAGGCGGCAGTGGTGAACGGTGTCGCGGCGGCGAACGGCGGTGCAGGCGGCGCGGTGGTGGTGAACAGTGGCGCGGCGGCGAGCGGCGTTGCAGGCGGCGCGGTGGTGGTGAACGGTGGCGCGGCGGCGAGCGGCGTTGCAGGCGGCGCGGTGGTGGTGAACGGTGGCGCGGCGGCGAGCGGCGTTGCAGGCGGCGCGGTGGTGGTGAACGGTGGCGCGGCGGCGAGCGGCGTTGCAGGCGGCGCGGTGGTGGTGAACGGTGGCGCGGCGGCGAGCGGCGTTGCAGGCGGCGCGGTGGTGGTGAACGGTGGCGCGGCGGCGAGCGGCGTTGCAGGCGGCGCGGTGGTGGTGAACGGTGGCGCGGCGGCGAGCGGCGTTGCAGGCGGCGCGGTGGTGGTGAACGGTGGCGCGGCGGCGAGCGGCGTTGCAGGCGGCGCGGTGACCGGTGGCGGTGGTGTGGCTGCGGTAGACGGCGCCGCCGGCGATGGTGGTGTGGAAGTTGCCGGCGGCGCCTGTGAGAGTATGGCAGCGGGTGAAGTGGGAGGTCGGGCATACGGTGAGGGGGGTAAGAGAGGCGGTGAAATATACTCAATTAGAAACGGTGCGGCGGCGACATTCGAATCTCCCCCCTCGTCCGCCGGCGCCGGCAGCTCCAGCGGCGGGGTCAGCAACGGCGCGCGGTCGGAGACCCACACGACGTTGTTCGTCATGCACACGCGCCCCGTCGCGAACTTGAGGACCTTGACCGCCGACTCGTGATGGTTGTCGCCGTTGTTGAGGTAGCAGCACAGCACTGCCTGGGGATCCATCTTCCTCGCGCGCGTCACACGCATATACCCCGGCTGCAAGAACGGGACGATCTGGAGCGGTGGCGGGCGACCGGTGAAGAGCTCGTGCGGCGACTTGTACCCGACGTTTGCCTTGGTCGGAGAACGGTTGAAGCCGCCGGCAGCCCAGTGACACGATTCTAGCCAGAGTCGCTCGCCATCGCGCCCGAAGCCGGGGACGCGGGTGAAGTCGATCTTGGGGAACAGGCGGGGTGCCTCGAGACGAGCGGCGTGGCCGGCCTTGTTCACGCGCCAGATCGCACTCTCCGCCGGACCATTCTGCTGCGGGGTGCCCGGCGCCGTGTACGTACGGCGGATGCCGGCGTTGTCACAGAAGGCGATGAAGTCGCGTCCGATGAACTCCCCCCCGTTGTCCATCCGGAAAGAGCGAGGGACACCGGTGCCACTCATGTCGGCGAGGAACTTCTTGACGAAGACGAGGGTGTCCGACTTGCGCCTCATCCCGTACAGCTTCATCCACCGCGAGAAGCTGTCCACGAACATAATCATGAAAAACGAACCCCCCAGCGAGGCCGTCATCGGCCCACACAGATCGATGTGCCAAAGATCGTGCGGCCGCTCCGCGCGCGTGCCCAATTGGTGAGGCACGCCCGCCTTCTTCCCCTTCGCCTGCAGGCATCCACCACAAGGCTGCAGGACACCGGTCAGTCGGAGACCGTGCTGCTTCGCAAGCTCACGCAAAAGAAACTCATTGGCGTGGGAGGACGAAACATGGAGAAGGTTAACGTCAATAATCTTGGTGGGTTTCCCCACCGAAAAAGGGCGCTTGCCCGGGGCCATAACGGGAACGGCGAAAGCAACATCATCGAAGACATTGGCAAATCCAGACTCAAACATCAAGTCTAAAAACTCGTAGGGGTCATCCGATTCTTGTCTCTGTTCTAAGAGGTACAAAGCCCACTCGTAATCTCCCTGCTCTGTGAACGGAATAAACCCACGGTCATCATCCTCACTATTCTCTTGAAAAACGGTGACGTCCGGCGATGGCAACCCGGGAACAGCTACCAACTCCATACCATGCGGCACTTGAGG